TGTGCAGCACAGTTTTAATATTTAGTGGCTGTATTAGAATAATTATAAAGTTGCCTATTTTGTACATTTTAAAACATTTCCGATGAATTTTGTTGTGCATATTTTGTTTTCTCAGTTATTATATTTCTGGATTACTTCCATTCTCTTAATTATACACTTCTAGTGTATATTTGTTGACGCTTGTCGGCTAAAATTTTTGCTACTAATGCTGGAATTATTGCTCACTGTGAAGTCCTCAGTGCATTCGTGACATGGCGACGAGGCTCATTTGTTTTCTTTTTCATATCTGAGTAGGTTATGTATTGTTGTTCGACAAATGGAAATTCGACACGCATGCTAGGTTGAACAACTGGTATAGAACAGGTTGACGGTAAGTGTCGCAATTAAAATTGGACAATCGAGACTAATTAGCAATATTAATTGGTATTAACAATATCAATTTCACTCATTTGATTATTTGTTGTTCGTCCTTTTCTGTTTTATAATATATACGTGTAATTGCTATATTATTTTTAGTCACTTTTAGGTATTTTGTTATGTGTGTTCATGAGGCATTTTTGTCATTGACTATTCTGTCGATTATTTATATATAATTATTATTATTCATTACTATTTATACAAATTTTGTTAAAACCGACGTTTTATTATTTCGAAAGCCGTTAAATATAACAGAGAGAAATAAAATATCTGAACGATCAAAGAATGACGGAGATAATATTATCTTGGGTGTTCCAATAACAGCGATAGTAATACTTAGTTATATAGTAATTTTTGAAATGTTAAAAAATGTTGACCAAATTGTGCTGTTTTGATTTTTTTGTATATTCTGCTGGTTAAATAAATTATTCATGGACAAATGCAGCATTGGACATGGACAGCACTGTTTTGCATCAATATTTATATATATCATTATGTTAATTACGATTCACAGTACATGATCTCCGACCAACAATAAGAAATGTCTCCACATATTTTCTTATTTTTCAATAACACATAATAGGGAAGCATTATTTACAAAATATCAAGTTTGTTTCGATATTATGAGTGCTCAAACAAGCCGACAAAAGTGAACCTGGAAGGAAAACAACAACAAACAAGTTTACTGGACAAACAACCACACCAAGTCGAAAAACACAAACACAACCACATACATCAATCAACAAACAAATCTGCAATCATGTTACAGACAGAAATCCCATAGAAAGCCACCAAATCATAATGGTGACCAAAAAACTTCATAAATGCACGTTTAGGTCGAGGAATCAGAAATCCTTGGCTTATCAACTTGTCAGTCAATAGCCGAGATCTGGTCAGGAAATCTGAATACCTAGAACAAGCTCTCGAGTAACGCACAAGCTGTGAAGTATAAACTCCATAAGCTGGTGAATGTTGCTATCGATATATCGATATATGGATATATGGATAGTTCACAATAGCAAATTTAAAATTGTCACGCTTAGCCTAGTATGCAGTTTTCCAGTGATGTCAAATTCGAGTAGTACATCAAGACATGAAGCAGAATTCAGTGTGTATCCTTAATTTGAAGTTCATTGGGATAAATATCATGTAAATAACTACTGAACTGGAGATTGTTCGGCGACAGAACATAATCAATATAACAAAATGTGAAATTGAAGAAACGAGCAGTTTCATGGCTCCACTAATCACTAGGATAGCGATTGTATGGTCACCCCATAAAATAATGATGGAAAGTGAACAGAAAGCTTGAAGAAAGAAAACAAACGAAATTCACGAGAAGGCATACGCCGATGTTACATTCAAATCCAGTCTAAATGTTACTGGGATAGAATTATATATATAGGGAGTAAACTCGCACTAAATTTGGGGTATTTAGGATAAGATGATTTCCTCATAGCCGTCTTCGATGGTTCATGAACAAAACGTTTGTAGTCGTACTTTCCATCGCTTTCCTGTTAAGGCCGTAGGATACGAGGCATTTCATTGGGCAACGCGAGAATGCATACGACAATATTTGAAATGCGATGCTACCAGTAATTTTGATAAGTAATCTGATGAGCGTTCCATCTGTTTTTTAAATACATATCAAATTACAGGCCTAACTGACCATGTCCTATCAATAGAGCTGTGAATCTATAAGGGGACATTTTATTTTACAGAAGTGGGTTGGAGAAATGAATATAGATAACATAAATATTGAAGACATACATTAAAAGTTTTATTTTTGAGAACTCACGATTTGTGGGGGCAAATAAGGCTCAATATTATCAACTCACTCGAAAATGTTTGTAAATTTTATAAGTGTTTCAGTTCAACTCAGCTCAGCCGCTGAGACGGCGTGGTACCAAAACAGGTACATCTCATCATTGGAATTCAGATGTTAAAATACTAGATATACCCAAACAATACAATATACGACATAGTGACGTCACCGGGTACAACAGCTTCTTATAAATGACAAAAATGCATTTAATTTATGATTGTTTAATTTAGATCTTGAAACTTCATTTCGCCCAACATTTGTGTTTAAAGAACATATTCGTCATTGGCTTGATTTGATTTAGTTTGTGCTTTTGATGGACTTGGTACCGTCTATTATCGTGAAACTTCGGAAATAGTTTAGTGTATATATATTTATTCAGTACCATTGGTCATAGGCCATAATGTACACACTTAAATGTAACACAAATAAATAAATAGATCGTTTGACAAGAATAACCACTGCTACTACTTGTCTGAATATACAAA